TCCTATTTGCTCAAACAATAAAAGAAAAGCTAAACAATAAAATTATCAAGACTTTCAGAAAAAGGAAAAACAAAATAGTGTGAGACGGATAATGGCTGCAAAATTTACTGTCATGTTCCTAGATGCTGCATTACAAACACTTCGCATAAGTGGTAATTCATTATTTTTTTTAAATTCATTCCAAAAGTATAGCTTTATAAATGTAAATACATTTTAAAAAATCACACTACTAAAATTTCATATGATGATGCCTATTAAACATGTCATAACCATCTTGTTAAAACAGTCTGTTATAGTAATTATGACAGTGTAAACTTTTTCATAGTGTAATTGATTTTAAAGCTTCACTGCTTGTCATATAAAATATGCCCCCCAAACTAATTATTAATCCTACTGTACCTCTTAACTAACCATTAAACTTACCATTAACCAATACCAGTAAACTACTTGTTCGTTCGTTCGTTCGTTCGTTCGTTCGTTCGTTCCTTCCTTCCCTTCCTTCCTTCCTTCCTTCCTTCCTTCCTTCCTTCCTTTCTTCCTTTCTTCCTTCCTTCCTTCCTTCCTTCCTTCCTTCATTCATTCATTCATTCATTCTTTTTGATATATTTCTAATAGGCAACGCAATGGTGCAGTGGGTTGCACGTTTGCCTTACAGCATGAAAGTTGCTGATTCGAGCCTCGGCTCGCTCAGTTTTCGTTACTGTGTGGAGTTTGCATGTTCTCCCCATGTTCACATAAGTTTTATTCGGGTGCTCCAGTTTCCCCCACAAGTCCAAAGACATGTGCTATAGGTGAATCGGGTAAGCTAAAATTGTCCGTATTGTATACATGTGAATGAGTGTGTATAGATGTTTCCCAGTGATGGGTTGCAGCTGGAAGGGCATCTGCTGCATAAAATATGTGCTGGTTAAATTGGCGGTTCATTCTGCTGTGGCAACACCAGATTAATAAAGGGACTTAGCCGAAAATAAAATAAATGAATGAATGAATGAGTATTTCTAATAAGTAAATAGAAAATACACTTATTTCACCTATAAAGTGAAAAGGTTATAGCTGAACCACAGGTAGCTACTCATCACTATTGCTTAAGTGCTTTAATAAAAGGAAATTCTAATCTATATTACACTCTCAGAAATAAAGGCACAGTAGCTGTCACTTGTACCTTTTGAAAAGGTACATATTTGTACCTGAAGGGTCCATAATGGTACCTTAAAGGTACTTTTTAGGTACGTTTGAGCATTAATATGTACCTTTGAGGTACCAGTGTGGACTCTTTGGGTACAAATATTTATCTTTTGAAAAGGTACTGCCCTAGGGACAGCTCCTGTACCTTTATTTCTGAGTGTCACATACTATACCATTATCAAAATTGCACTGTGTAGCCTGAATAATTAAATGTTCAAATGGCTTGCCACAATAGCTCATTCTGCCTGCCATCCATCAACAGGTTTTCCGCAAGATATTGGCTTTTAATTCTCTGTTCTGGGAATGAGATTGCAATTTCAGTTATTTCAGATATATTTTTGTATGTTCCTGGTAATTTTGGAGTGATTATTTCCAGTGTCACCCAATTCATTCATTGCTAAGCCCCCTTTTGTGATGACGTTAGTTTGTGCTGTATTAAGAACAGAGGCTGTGTGAATGATGCTTTTGTCTGAGGCAAGAGGTATATATAGGTTTTCCTTTAGGAGACTTCAAAGGCACTTGTCTTCCTGTAAGTGCTCTTGAATCCTCGTATAACCAGCTAGAATACTGTGAAACTCGAGGACATGTTATTTGCTGGTGCTGGATTTTGCCCATCCATTTTAACATACTATATGTAATGACAAGCGGTTGAAGTGAAATACTTATGGGAAGTTAAAATATTGATTACTCCAACTTAAATGATTTGAAGCCAAGTGTTTTTTAGCACATCTTTTATCATATATGGGTCTATGATCACTTATTTAGAGCAACACCATGGGGTGTTTGCATTTGTTTTACTTTCAAATGTTAAATATCTAATTTCCTTTTTGCATTCATATAGCATTTTAATCCTGATCAAAAAGCTGACGATCTTGTTCTGTATCAGCTACACAGTCTTAAATGCTAGAAAGCAGTTAGTCATCTTCGTTCAACAGACAGACTGCAGTTAACAGCATGAGCTGACAGGAGAACTGCATCGGCTTGAGAGGGAATATATATTCTCTTAGAAGAAATAATAGAGATAATAATAATTCTGATATGGGACAATTCTCACTGGCAAACAATACTTTGGTAATGAGATGGGATATTCATGTAAATTGCCTCATGTCAAGGGTAATTTTCGCTCTCCGTGACTCACAGGTAGAGTTTCCATCAGTGCGAGGAGCTCGAGTTGTAAATATTAGAAACACACTGCAGCTTTTGCATAATTCACGATGCCCTGTGATGAATGTTATGGAAGATGAATGTTCTGACACTCTCCACAACAATCAGCACTAATTTAAAACCCTCTAAAATCGAACCCTGAAAACCTGTAAAGCATTTTCAAAGGGAAAAGAGCGAGAGAAAACAATAAATATGCTTATACATGGTGAATTTGAAGGGATAGTTCAGTAAAAAACGAAATTTGTTGTTAATTTGTTTAACCTGAGGCGATTAATTATGTACTGTAGATGACTTTTTTCAGTACATTAAATGGGTGGTCCATTGTGGGTTTTTTAAGGCTTGGTTGTGTTTACACGATGGAAAGCAATGTGTGCTCATGCTTAATTTGTAAAAAAATTTGACTTTAGTTATTTGACTTTGATTTTATACAGCTCAGCTAACATGAAAATGACAATCATATCTCCTAATTCCTCCTAAAGGCCCGCCTTCAAGAGGCTCTGATTGGTCAGCTAACATAATGTGCTGTGATTCGCAAATCGGCTTTACTTCACCAGGAAAAGCGTCATGCCTCTATTACCATGCACTTTTGCGCTGTGTAAACACTGTAAGTCAGAGTAGCTGTTAGCGATATCAGTTTGAGCCTGAATCAGACAGAAAATGAAAAGGACACAGCTGAACCTCATGCCTGCTCTGTTTTTCACATATATTCGGAATAAGCATGTGTAAGCAATACGAAGTGTTCACATATCTTTTGCGAGTTTGTTTGTTTGAAATGTAGAACGGAGGGAAAGCAGTCGCATAAAGTGACACTGCAGCGCTGCTGAGATTTGTGGTTGTTTACAGGGGTTCGAATGATAAATATGAATTTGTAGCTAAATTGTTAAAGATTCTGGAAGCTGTCCTATGTGAAATGCTAGCTTTATTTATATATATATATATATATATATATATATATATATATATATATATATATATATATATATATATATATATATATATATATATATATATATATATATATATATATATATATATATATATATATATATATATATATATATATATATATATATATATATATATATATATATATATATA